CTTTCTCCATTAAGTCCTAAATGAAAGCACACTTCAAAGCAGAAATTACAAGGGTAATTCCAAAATTGTACAGGAAACCAGAACTCGAAAAGCCAGACATCCACCACGTGTGCAGGGTAGTCTGCAGATAGCCCCCCAAAGACAAAGCCTGGAGAAACCGAACAAAAACCTTTTTTTTTTTTTTTTTTTTGAAAAAACGGACCCAGTGCCCAAGGCTGATACTAACAATAAGAAGATTGAGGCCGGGGTCCTCACAGTCTACCCGGAGTGACCAAACCGAACATGCTGAGAACTGGGCTCATCGTCCCTCATATAATGATGATGATGATGATTCTATGTAAACTGTGAGGTAATAATACTAATGATGATGATGATGATGATTCTATGTAAACTGTGAGATAATAATACTAATGATGATGATGATGATGATTCTATGTAAACTGTGAGATAATAATACTAATGATGATGATGATGATGATGATGATCTTCGACTGGAAAGCAGTATTGGGCATGAGGTTGCCCATCACAGTATGGTGGACAAACCCCATGCCTGATGCTCATTTCTGATAATCGTCAGGGACGACCCCAAGCATGCTTTTTTTTTTCTTCTGGGAACCAGGCCCAGTGACCCTGATGCTACTGATAGAGCTTATGATGATGATGATGATGATGATGACGCTAATCTATGGTAGTCCAAGAGAAGCTATGAACTATACCAGCAACACCTGTCCTCTCAATGCATAAGCAACTCTTAGCCTCCCCTGTATGAGACACAACACTTTCCAAGGCAATATCTACTTAGCCAAAAACCGGCTATAGTTGTCGTGTTCTCCCTGGCAAGACTAAACCCCGGCCCCTTAGGTTTGTCATGACAGTCTTCCCCAGTCCACCACTGGATTGCCTTCCTCCCTCGACGAGTCCCCAGATCTCTCTACCAGGCCTCATGCACCTGCTACAAACAGGTTACAGGGCTACGCCCCAGCTTCGGCCAGCGTCGTTCTGGCATCGGCAAACCAAGAGAAAAAGAACAACACAGCTGTGCCAGGCGTCGACCAGGCTTCTACCACCTCTAAAATACTGTGTTTAAACTAGAGAGAAACTAAGATATCACCAGGAAAGAAAAAACAGATGAAAACTGACACGTCCATAGTGTTGGTGATTAGTTTGAAACTACGCACGCTTGTCCTGGATCTTTAAAGACAGCCGTCTGTCTCCCAGTCCCGTACATAGCACTAGCAGTTAAGCTTGGGAAACTATTGAAGAAATCTCCTCCCCCCCCCTCATCTTCCCCCTTGTCCCAGTGCTGCCTCCACCGTAGAGAATCGCCGTGATTGCAGGCATTCTCCATTGGCCCCAGCTTGGGACAGACCCCCTCCCCCCTGTTCCTTCAAAGGCATCCAATTCCCACCTAANGTGATTGCAGGCATTCTCCATTGGCCCCAGCTTGGGACAGACCCCCTCCCCCCTGTTCCTTCAAAGGCATCCAATTCCCACCTAAAGTATGCCTTTGGCAAACCTCTACCCTAATCTGCCCCCGCTAGGATATGATGCCGCATTGTACATCTATCCCAGCCCCAGAATAGGGCAATCCCCACACTCTGCCCCCACCCCCTTTGGGGCATTCACCCCCCACCTTGTGAAGCCCCTGCGGAGTAGAGCTCTCCCCCTCAACACCCAACCACCATCCTCAAAAAGTAAATCATCAGAGCACACTGGAGGAGAAAAAGGAATGTAGGCTCCCTTAGTAAAGAAAAAAGCACTAGGCATTTAAATCTCCAGATTAAATTCTAGGATGCTAAAATTGAGTGCTAATTAGACAAAGGAAAATAGAAATTTCTTGATAATTGATGGAGAGTAGTGAATAGTCGAGTCCATGAAGATGAGGGAAAGCAAGGAATTACCATTGGAATTTCCCACCTGAAATTAAGGAGTTGTGAGAAAAAATAAAATAAAAATTGAGAAGTTGAGAACAAATAACAGTAACTTGGATTTTCAGTTTAGTTTTTAGGTATTTGAAGAAACACCTTATAGATATCTAGGTATTTAAAAAATACCTTTTCAGTCAGTCCAGAGATACATAGATACTGATTTCAGATAAATAAGAGAAGATTAATAGGATATATTATTAAGTTGGTGAATCAGTTAATTAATTAGCTGATGACTTGGATGATGAATAGGTTGATTAATTAGTTGATGATTTAGATGATGATTGGGTGATGATTAATTGATTAGTTGATCAATATATACTATTTACCGGTTTTAGAAGACACTGATTAGAATCTGGAATTTGTAATGGATGGAAATGAAAAACAGAACAGAAAGTTCAATCAAGAAAACGTGAGTTACTCCCCCCCCTTCCTCCCTTTCTCCCGGAAAACCTGTAGAGCCATCTCTCTCACCCACAACCTCTTCCCCTTCACTCCCTCCTTGCTCCCTTCCTTCCACGTCTCCCGCCCTCTCCCACACCCTTCCCCACTACCCCCCAACGTTCCCCATCTCTCCCCATTGCTTCCCCCAAAAAAGGAAAGCGGAGCAAAGCAGAGCACCAGAAAGGGAAGCAGAGTCAAAGAGTGAAGAGAGATTAGCGGACAGAGAAGAAGAAGAGAGGTAATGAGGAGGAGAGTAGAGGGATGAAGCTGGAGGGCATGAGGGAGGAGGAACGTAATCCAAAAAAAAATAGGTGAAAGAGGGTTGAGAAGAAAAGTGGGAGGTTGCTATTCAACCCTGTTTTGTCAACCTCCCCGCCTCCATTACTCATGCCCGTTGTTGGCACAGATGCTGATGATGACAGTTCTTCTTCTTCTTCAAGAGTCAAATATGATGATGATGATGAGGTGTTACATGCAGCGCGTGCACACACGGGCCATTTTGCAGGCCCGACGGCCATTTTGCAGGCCCGACTGAATTCAGGCCAAAACCCTGGATTTCAGGCCGAAAGCCTGAAATTCAGGGCTTACAGGCCCCATTTCGGTTCAGGCCGAAAGCCTGACTTTCAGGGCCTACAGCCCCTGCGACGGTTCAGACTAAAAATGGTAATAGCATTTTTAGCCTGAACCCAACGGCCATTTTCGGTCGTTCATCAGAACGACCGGCCCTGAAACTCAGGCACCGAACCAGGGTTTTGGGAACAGCCTATATTTAGACTGTTCCCACGCCTGCCTCAAGCAGGCTGCTGCACGCCAGCCCCTGGCACACTTCGGCATTGNGCCTCAAGCAGGCTGCTGCACGCCAGCCCCTGGCACACTTCGGCATTGGCAAGAGCTGCCTCCTCGGCCTGCTCGCCCTCCTGCAGTCAGGAGGCAGGCCGAGGAAGTACATAGGACTTCCCAGGCACTTCACGGGTAGGCAGTTCGGGAGTTGTAGTCTTCAGGATTCGGGAGCAGCACTCTGGAGGGAGCACTGCGTTGTAGTAGAGTAGCGTTAGCCAGTAGTCTTCAGCGCTGGGCGCAGTAGGTAGCTGTAGTCTTCGGTGCTGGGCGCCATAGCTAGGTAGTGGTAGAGATGATGGGCGGAGGCCAGGGATCACTTGCCTGCAGCGCCGTTGCTCCAGCTTCGTCTTCGAGGTACCTGCAGCACAGCGCCAACATCACAGGTTAGTACCTGGTTCGTAACAGTRAGAGAGAGAGAGTTCTCTTCTTCCTCTTCTCAGTCCCCCATCTTCTTCTTACCCTCTCAACTTCTGACTTCCCTGCAGTTGCAGACTACGAGAGAAGAGATACCGGGCTTGGTGACATATGATCCAGACTCGACTTTTTGGGGATTCAGACATGGCAACGAGGGACTATTTGGGATTGGTGACCAAGACTTGGTGTTAACGACATTCCCATCTTCTTCCCTCCTTTCGTCTGATCCTTATCTCTTCGTCTGTGTATGTCTGGACCTGGTGCTATCTTCCCGTGTGCAGCGCCAGGCTCCTTCACACTTCGTGATGGATACAATGCATGTTTGGTCTGAGTTCAAACATTGATTGGGCTAGTTAGAGGTACTTTAGCATTCTGCTTCGTTACTCTGAACTACGTGAATAAGGTCAGTCCTGTCAGGTCAGTCTTGTATCAAAGTCCTCCCTGCACTCTTCAGCATCTTTATGTATGACTGAGAATGTACATTGCTTGTCGAGATTCTACTCGTACCGCGTTGTCTATTCAGTCCCTTTCATACATTGCAGATTCTCGGTTTATTACGTACATTACAGATCTGTGCATGTAACAGTTGGTATCGGAGCTTTTGCACGTGAATCAGGACTATCTGATCTGACACGTGTGCGGGGATCAAAAAGCTAGTTAGTCTTTTCTGTTGATCAGGACATACTAGTTAGACCCCAAAATCACGATCTTGACCTTACTACAAAAAAAAAAAATCGAATTTTTTTCTTTTCTCGGATTTTATCTTCTCGCTATTCTGCTGTAGAAAATCGTTATACCGCAACATCTGAAATTCCTATTTTCGTTTTTCTTTCTGAAAACCCGAAATTTCGCTGTTGAAAATCCGGAATATTTTTCTTTTCGAAAATTTCGATTTCCCGTTGTATTTCCCGTTACGTAGAACTTCGGAATATCTTCATTTCTGAAATTCGTTTTTCTAAAAACGGTACGGTAAATACCTCCTGCACGTATTTTTTTTCAAACTGCGAATATTCCCATCGGAATAAATCCGAATATTTGTCATTTCTGTTCGGAATTTTTTTCGCAGTTCGTGGATCCTATCAGTGGTTCTATAAATCGGTTACAGTCCAAAGTCGATTTTTTTTTTGCTTTCAGTGATCATTTCGAACTTCAAGGGAGGTTGGGAGACCTACCGAACTTGCAAAAATAAGGATTTGTATTTTCTCAAAAAAAAAAAAAAAAAATTTTTTTTGCAAAGTTCAAACTTTTCTACTTTGATTAGTGGCTCCTTATCTAAGTGTGAGTTGGGCGATCATCCCACCCACCCCTCCCCATCTATGTTGTTGCCATCTCTCGCCGTGTCGTTTCTGGTTGTCTCCGGGTACCCCTTGTGACGGCATTGGTAAGTTGCCACGTCAGCAGGCCACGTCAGCAGACCACGTCAGCAGGCCACGTCAGCAGACCACGTCAGCAGGACATGTCAGCAGGCTACGTAAGTACGTCAGCAGACCACGTCAGCAGGCTACGTCAGCAGGACATGTCAGCATTGCCACGTCAGCAGCAAGGGATACCACATCAGCATGCACCGATACAGACAGCAGTCATGGACCAGAAGGCCGGGGAAACAGACGAGGCCTATCAGGCCCGCATGTTAGCCTGGAGTACCGAGACAAAGAAGCGGGCAGATGACGCTGCCGCAGCAGCCAAAAAAAGGGCAGAGGATGTCGAGCAGGCACGTCTGCTGGCCGTGGAACAACAGCGCCAACACGACGAGGCAGCAGCAAGGGTTGCCGATGAGGAAAGAACACAGCGTCGTGAGAAGACATTCACCGGAGAGGGGGCATTACTTACCATGGCAGCAGAATGTCGAAGCGAGGCCGAGAATAGCCAGTTGGAGGATAGCGCAAACAAGATAGCGCTCCTCCTCTCGCATCTCACGGATCTCCTGGCAACCTGCATTACACAGCAGGCGGAGATCCTTGCTCTCGACAACTCGGTAGCTCATCTCCAAAACCGCCTTCAGCGGGTGGAGCAGCGACCAGTCACCGCCGCCGATGCAGGCTCTTCCAACACTGCCGACCGCCTCACCGCATTGGAGATGCGCGTCGGCTCCCTCCAGGATGGCGCACAGTTACAGCAAACCTCGACGCAACAATTGCAGCAGCGGATCTGCACTACCGCCACTACCTCGAGTCCGGAGCCGCGCGAGACAGCTCCTAAGTTCGATGGGCAGGAGATCTTCCACGACTCAATCAAGACAGATCCGATTCCATGGTTTCGCAAGTTCGAGCTCACGCTGCAGCTCCACAACATCAAGGAAAACAAGCACCACGCYTACTTGTACTCTCGCTCAGGGGGCGCGTGTTAGGCGTGGTTGGACAACTTGTTGTCCAAGTACGGAGTGGTAGCAGCGAACTTGCACACCATGATCAGTTGGGATGATCTGAAGGCGGCGTGGCACAAGTGGTTCCAGGTGGAGCCGCCAGAGATCAAAGCCATGGACAAGCTCATGGTCTTCGAGCAAGGCACGCTGCCAAGTACGGACTGGATCGCCGAGTACCAACGCTTGACGTCAGTCCCAGACATYCAGATGGGCTTCAAGGCCATCCGCCACTACTTCATCTCAAGGTCATGTCCGGCATTGAGCAATGCCCTGACGCATGTCGAGGACACCTTGACGATGACGGCGGAATTATTCGATAAGGCTGCGCAGATCATCGTTACGAACAAGGAGGCCAAGAACCTCCGTTCATCTGCGACAGGCCCGAGCGGGAACCAGCATCGGCCACGAGTGGCCGTGGTCGCAGCGGCAGCGCCGTTAGACCAA